CGATATTTTGTATGGTCTACATTTTTTAGCATTTTGTTATAATTATGGGAAAGGGAAAACTGACATTATTTCCAGATGCAGTCTTCAACATGCCATTCTAGTGGCAAAACTCAAGGGTATATAAAACATGTCACATGATTGAGAATGACATGTTAAACGAACACTTCTGTTCCATCTAAGTCAATGATTCATTATTTATCTTGTACAACATCAACTTTTCTAGATCTAATAAGTTCTCTCTGATAGACCTTTGGCTGGAACACCGTGAGGGCTTAGGCCAACGTAATGAACCATTATGTTAGTGTAAGTCTTCAACATGTTCCAGCGAGTTCATTACTCAAATGTAAAGTGTTTTTGTAGCAAGATGTAGCAGGGTAGGGTGGGGACAGCAGGGAAAAACTGCCTTCCGTTTCTTGTGTAGCTGAGGATCTGGGAGGGCAGCTTTTTCTCCTGACAAATATGACTTTTGCTACTATCTCCCTGGTGCCACAGTGCCTTCAGTCATTTCATCACTGCCACTGCCACTGCCCCATTGCCAGTGTTGCCACTGCCAGTTGAAATTTGGCCAAATGTGTTGAATAGCCAGCTATGGTGGCACAGTTTTTCAAGTGTCGCAACTTTCTTGCAAGCTTAGGCTGCCTTGCCTAATTTGGCAGATATACACTGACTCACTAAACTGGGGCACCCCAACATCAAAGTTCCTATCAGCTGACTGTCACCAGCAATGATGTCAGATGGGGTGATGGGGGATGAAAGTGGGTCAAGGAGGACCCCCCCCCCTCGCCTTCCTAATTGCTCCATTGCCTCAGCCGACATCACTTCAGGTAAAGGCTGACAAGTAGGACTCATGTCATGTGACACAGAGGACAGGAGCGGTCGGTAACTGCCATCCCATGTCCCCAGTCCACCTGAACCCAAAGGAGCCCCCGGTGGTGCAGTGGGTTAAACCCCTGTGCTGGCAGGACTGAAGACCGACAGGTCACAGGTTCGAATCTGGGGAAGGGTTAAACCCCTGTGCCGGCAAGACTGAAGACCGACAGGTCGCAGGTTCGAATCTGGGGAGAGGCGGATAAGCTCCCTCTATCAGCTCCAGCTCCTCATGCAGGGACATGAGAGAAGCCTCCCACAAGGATGATAAAACATCAAATTATCCGGGCATCCTGGGCAACGTCCTTGCAGACGGCCAATTCTCTCACACCAGAAGTGACTTGCAGTTTCTCAGGTCGCTCCTGACACGACAAAAACAAAACAAAAAACATGAACCCAAGGGAAACAGGATGGCTGTGAAAACAGTTGCTACTGGTTCTCTTCCAGCACTGGCCTAATTGATCAAACCGAATTGAGAGATAGTCCAAATTCTGGGCAGTGCCCTGTTTTAATCTGGATTATCTCCCCAGTGGTGCAATGGGTTAAACACTTGTGCCAGCAGGACTGATGATTGACAGGTTGGCGGTTCGAACCAGGGAGTGGGGTGAGCTCCCATCTCAGCTCTAGCTTCCCATGCAGGGACATGAGAGAAACCTCCCACAGGATGGTAAAACATCAAACATCTGGGCATCCCTTGGGCAATGTCCTTGCAGATGGCAAATTCTCTCACACCAGTAGCAACTTGCAGTTTCTCAAGTCGCTCCTGACACATACACACAAACAAATCTCCATGCTGCATTCAGCTATCATGGAGGTGATTTAGGGTCCATTCCACCAAAATGGTCAGTGTAGCTGTGCCCATTGACACTACACATTCAAATAGGATCAGGGCATTGTGATAATATAGGAAAATGTGCCAAGGCTCCAGTGACTGTCAAAAATTCAGTTGTAAGTCCTGGAAGAGCTATTACCATATGTTTTGCCTTCTGTGGTAAAGAATGGAACTGTATGAGATCTAGGTGCTGCACCTGACAGTGTTCTGTGCCCAAAATGAAGGCTTCTTTTGTCTTCAGTTTATGGTGGAAAAGTCTGGGGAAGGATGAAAATGAACTCCAACCCCTCTGAGATAAGCAGCTTCTGGCTTGTTTGGATCCATATAAAATGTCTAGTATACAATCTTGACAAGTTTCAAGCTTTTAAGTCAATCTGTTTAATGTTTCCAAAATAAGTCATAGAGCGCAGCCTTCTTGGGCCCCTGAACTGCTAGTTGCCCTTTCCCATACTGAGTAGGCTAGAGGCAAAATGTCCTCAAAACAAAAGAGTTGACTGTGTATACAAAAAGCCCACGCTTTTGCAAGGGTTAGAGGTGCAGGATCCTCATATATGTGGAAAAACAATGAGTAAAAAACAAACAAACATTTTTTCCCTGAAGGCACATTTCTTCAGGTTGTCCAGTGTGAGTTGATGTTCAACTTCCACCAGAGGCTGACTGTAGCATTATGCAGGAGGATCTAGGGATTCCTCATGAAGCCATATGGATCTAATCCATAAATAAATCCACAAAAGTTAAACCTACAAATGTATATGAAGGCAGAATAAATGGAAATGTTATCAGCTCAAAATATGGAAAAAGTCTTAAAGCTCATAAAATGTTTGCTTTGTCACATGGAATTGACAAAGGCTCCTTCTACACTGCCATATTAATATATGGCATTGAATTGTTGCCTTTGTAAGGCTGCCCTGAGTCCCCTTCAGGGTTAAGAAGGGTGGGATGTAAATGGGGTTGTCACCCTGCAGCAGAGGGATTAGACAGAGGCCCCTTCTACACTGCAATATAAAATCCAGATTATCTGCTTTGAACTGGATTATATGGCAGTGTAGACTCATATAATCCAATTCAAAGCAGAAATGTGGATTATCTGCTTCAGTAATCTGGATTATACAGGAGTATAGAAGGGGCCAAAATGATGTCTACCTAGTTGGGACTTTGAGATTAAAGTTCACCCTCAAGTTTTATTTTTGAACATTCTCCCAGGGAGTTTGAGAGGCCAAAAAAATCGCTATATAGCCACATCCCAGGAAGTGAAAGGTCAGTCTATAACAGTGGTTCTCAACCAGGGGTCCCCAGGTGTTTTGGCCTACAATTCCCAGAAATCCCAGCCAGTTTACAAGCTGTTAGGATTTCTGGGAGTTGAAAGCCAAAAGATCTGGGAACCCACAGGTTGAGAACCACTGGTCTATAATGTGCCAGAGGATGAAAATAGTGGCCGTCCATGGCTACATTTCAAGCCCCCACCTTAGAAATTTTCAAGAAGAACTTCAAAACGCGGCTTTTCCGTTGTGCTTTTGGAGAGTGATTTTACATCTCCGTTTGTCATTCTCCCCTATAATGGATGTCCTCATATTGCACTGCCTCCTGTCCTCATGAAGGACTGTCTCCACTACACCATTCTCCCTTACAAATGTATATGTTTTATTTCTATCTATGTATATGTTTTATTTCTATCTCATCCTTAGTTTTTATCACTGTATCTTGCACATGTAGCCCGCTCACTGTGATTGTGTTTGATCTTCTACCGTATTACTTTGCACTGTTTATTGTATTTTATGCTTGATTTATTTTATTGTGATGTTTGCTTTATGTTTTTTATGTTACTGTATTGTAATGCAGTTCTGGGCTTGGTCTCATGTAAGCCACCCTGAGTCCCCCTTGGTGGTGGGGCATAAAAAAGATGATGATGATGATGATGATGATTATTATTATTATTATTAAGTGCTGCTACTCACAAGAGCCATAACAAAAGTTTGATTTTTTTTCAGCGTGCTTGAAGTTGACTAGGACATCCCATGGGAGACGGATTCCCAAAATTCAAATCCTTGTTTCTCACACAGCAACTTCCACAAAAAGTCAGCCTCACATCTGGATCAAGAACATCTGTTGTATGAAAAATGAGGACAGAATTCTGAGAAAGGCAAGAGAAGCGAAAGTGACAGTTTCCACACTGCTTGCCAGCAGAATCTGCAGTGATAAACCCTGTGTCAAGTTTGCCTTGGGGTTGCCATAAACCAGAAGTGACTTGAAGGCAAACAACAAAGCTAGCAGAGGTCATCAACCGAAGGTGCATGACTGTTTTTGTTTTTAAACAACCTGGAATAGGATGTAAGCAATAGTCGTTGAGCAGGACCATAACATAAAACAAAGCTGAAACACATAGGTGAGCAAATCCCACAAAAGTGTTGTTTGTCATCAGATTTGTAACCAGAGTAACAGTAAACCACATTATCTACTTATATGAGTCTACACTGTCATATAATCCAGTTCAATGCAGATAAGCTGGATTTTTGTAGAAGGGGCCTCAGTGACCGCAGTGGAGCACTAGGCAGAACTTGAAAACTGACATAGAATGAATGCAGTTTGACACCACTTTGACTGCTATGGAATCCTGGGATTTGTAGTTAGACAAAGCACCAACACTTTGGCTGAGAAGGCTAGAGACCTAGAGGCTGGATGGCCATCTGTCAGGGGTGATTTGAATGCAATATTCCTGCTTCTTGGCAGGGGGTTGGACTGGATGGCCCATGGGGTCTCTTCCAACTCTTTGATTCTATGATTCATTGTTCCATAGCACTGAACATGGCAATTAGTGACATCAAACAGTGTTAATTCTACAGCTTAGATGCACCCTCAGTTAGTTATACCTGACAAAGAGAGCTAATTCATTGTATCCAAGTACAAGACTAAGAGTGCAACTACACTGAAGAATTAATGCAGTTTGAGATCACTTTAACTGCCATGTCTCAATGCTATGGAATCATGGTAGTTGTAGTTTTAGAAGCACTTTAGCCTTCTCTATCAAAGCTGTGCTGAACTGATATTGAATTAATAATATTTTTTATTTAAAAAAAGGTTAACATTTATCTGAAAATATGGTGAGATGCCTAAGGTGCCATTCGGGGAGAGAGAGGCAAAGGAGAATAGATAACAGCAGAAGAACTGCAGCCGAAGTAGACAAGAAAACCCACGTTATGTCTAAACTTAAATTGGGGGTAGGGGTGGGGGGAGATTATTGCTGAAGCCACGGTTTAGCCAGCTGATCAGAAAACCCGGAGTTAAAGGAAGTTTCTCCCTTGTCCAATAATTAACTTTAATCAATCTAAGAGAACGGAAAGTGAAAGCTGGCAGGAGAAAAACACACTTGCCAGCTGGAATTCAAAACAGAAGATGTTGGTTTTCCGTTGAGCACCGAAACTTTGGGATTTTGGAGACTTAAAAAGGGAAACCGCAACAGCAATTACACTCTTCTTCGCCAGGGAGGAAGAGGCGAGGGGCTCACCAGGGACCAGGTAAGAGCCTTCCCCCTCCCGCTCCCTCCACAGTCTCCTTTCAGGAAAGGCTTTGCCCATTCCTTTCCCTGCAGTAGAGCCCTGGGATTCTTCTTGGCTGTCTCTCACCCAAGCCAGGACCACCCAAAGTGTTTCTGCACAGGGTGCCGTTTTTGCTGGAGAGCAGACTTCAGAATGTGCCAGTCAGACCCCTTCTACACTATCTTTCCATCCCAGGATGTGATCCCAGGTTATCTGCTTTGAAATCGATTATATGAGTCTCCACTGCCAGATAATCTGGGATAAGAAGATAATCTTGGACCAGATCCTAAAATATAGGGAAATGTAGGACCCCTCCAGACAGGATCTTATCCAAGGTTATCTTCTTAGAAATTGATTATATGAGTCTCCACTGCCAGATAATAAGATAAGAAGATAATCTGGGATCAAATCCTGGGATATAGGGAAATGTGGGACCCTTCCAGACAGGCCCTATATCCTAGGATCGGATCCCAGGTTTTCTGCATTAAACTGGATTATGTTAGTCCTCACTGTCAGATAACTGGGGGCAGGGGACAGTTCTACCTTGTCTCCTGTGCTATGCTAATAATATAATATAACTAGCAGTCCTCTGCCACGCATTGCTGTGGCTCAATCTCGTGAGCTGGAAAATAAAGTAATGAGAAAGTGTTGGTTTCTAATATATGTAATGCTTGTGGGATAAAAGTAATTCTTGTTGTTTTTTTGTCAGTGTTGATGTGGAGATTGTCTGGTTTGCCTACTCTGGAACATGCAACATATCATTGTCCTTCTTTAGGGGTCCCTTTCAAATTTATGATACTATATCTGTCATATACATATGTGTGTGTGAATCATATATATCTATCTATATCTATGGCTGGATGGCTTTTTGTCAGGAGGGCTTTGATTACGTTTTCCTGCCCTGGTGAAGCTCATCCCCTGTTTGGGTATCAGCCCTCCAGCTCATCCCGTTTGGGTATCAGCCAGCACGTCAACGACTTAAATCAAGACATAGTTTTTTTAGATCTACAGAGACACTCGCTGGAACACCCCAGCAAGCGAGAGTCCAAAAGTGGCAGGCCCAAACCCAGCACCTCAATTCATGGCTGATACCAGATGAGAGACTCCCCCCTGGGCACTCAGAAGACTGGGCGACTTGGAAGGCGCTGAACAGACTGCGCTCTGGCACCACGAGATGCAGAGCCAATCTTAAGAAATGGGGCTACAGGGTGGAATCCTCGGCATGCGAGTGCGGAGAAGAGCAAACCACTGACCACCTGCTGCAATGCACCCTGAGCCCTGCCACATGCACAATGGAGGACCTTCTTGCGGCAACCCCAGAGGCACTCCAAGTGGCCAGATACTGGTCAAAGGACATTTAACCAAATACCAAATTTGTAAAATCTGTGTGTGTGTTTTTTCCCCCTTTTTCTTTTTAATCTCTGTGTTTTGCTCTGTTAGAATTGTGATACAATGGTTGCTGATGACACGATAAAAAAAAGGGGGGAGTTGGACTCAATGGCTTTAAATATTTTCTGTTGCTCATGGGATTCTGTGTGGGAAGTTTGCCCCAATTCTGTCCTTGGTGGAGTTCAGATTGTAGGTGTACTATAAATCCCAGCAATTACAACTCCCAAATGTCAAGGTCTTTCCCCCCCAAATTCCATCAGTGTTCAAATTTGGGCATATTGAGTATTTGTTCCAAGTTTGATCCAGAACCATCATTGTTTGAGTCCACAGTGCTCTGTAGATGTAGGTGAACTACAACTCCAAAACTCAAGGTCAATGCCCACCTAACCCTTCTAGTGTTTTCTGTTGGTCAGGGGAGTCCTGTGTGCCAGGTTTGGTTCAATTCCATTATTGTTGGAGTTCAGAATGCTCTTTGATTATAGGTGAACTATAGGTGAACTATAAATCCCAAAAACAAATGACAAAATAATAATTTTTTTAGTGATGGTCACTCCTTGTGTTGTGAGACGTTTTGTGCAAAATCTGGTGTGGTTTCGTTCATTGGTTCTTTTGTTTTTAAGGTACTCATTACACACAGAGCATTTATATATATATATAGATGTAATACAATATATTATATATACATATAATATTTATAATATTATAAGGTAATACAATATAATACTAATAATATATTATCATTATATTTTTATATTACTAATAATATTACAATATAATGGTATAGTTTAATATAGTAATATATATTACTGATATTGTACTATGCTAATAATATATTGTATGTATATATATCTTGTAAGCTGCTTTGAGTCCCCTTCGGAGTGAGAACGGCGACATATAAATGTCGTAAATAAGTAAATAAATAAATAAATAATCTGGGATAAACTGAAAACATGGGATCAGATCTTGGTATAAAATATAGCTGGCACCAGTTATAATGTGCTGAGGCTATTTGGGCAATATAACTCCCAGCAGCTGTACCACCACTTGTAATAGAATGTGGCTTCTGTGATTCAAACCCAAAATCAAAAAGCTGCACTAAGCTGGAACAAACTTCTGGCTGAAAAACCTTTTAAAGAACTCTAGCCCCAACTAAACTTAAAAGCAATGTTAAGCCCTTAGCTTACTTGAAGTAACTTAAGCAAGAATGTGCTGGATTAGCACTCAGGCTTATGTTCTGAGGTAACACTGAAAATATTGCTCCTTTAAAATATACGCTGCCACCATTACACTTTTGATTGCTGCAGGAAACTGCTTTTAAAACTTCACCCACAGAGGCACACGTGAGGCAGATGTTGTGAACAATAAAACAATGATGTTTATTTAAGAGAACTTGAACAAAACAGGCATTAAGTTTAGCTGTTCTGAAGTATTGGCATAAAAGCATGTGGTTTCTTTAAGCAGTTCAAATTTAGTTGCACATAAACACTCCTCTCTCCCTCCAGAAATTACTGACACGATTCCTCTCTGCCAAGCAATTCTAAACTCCACCACAGAGAGTCCCTTCCTGGGTCTATCTCACTACTCCTCCACCAGCTATCTTCCTTAATAGCTGTAAAATCTTCTCACTAGTTATCTTTGCTAACCAACTGACCAACTTCAGGCCTCTCCCACTATCTCTTCTCCACTCCAAACTCCTACTTCTTTGACACCCAGACTCAATCTGAGCTGACAGGGTTTTAAAACACACTTTTAAAGTCATTTTTTTCCTTTTCCAAGTTAAGCTCCGCCCACTCTTTCCCAGCCAATCCCCAACTCCCCTAATTTTCCTCCACGCTGTTTCTCCCCTCATTTCCCTCCATGGCCCCTTCAGGAAATGAATATCTAAAATGGATTCCCCCGGCACCCTTTCCAAAATGGCTGAAGAACTTCCTGGGCCTACTTTCCTAGGCTTTTCCTAGCCTAACAGGTAGAGAATTCATCACATATGGCCTGTTTGGAAGAGCCTGTAGAAGGAGCCTGAGTAGCTCAGAAGGAGAGAGAGGTTGGAAAACACTGTTTTACCATTTAGGCCAGCCGCTTCCTCTCTAGGAGCCCCCTGTGCTGCACTGGGTTAAGCCCTTGTGCCGGCAGGACTGCTGACTGAAAGATTGAGGGTTGGAATCCTGGGGAGTGGGCTGAGCTCCTATTTGAAAGCTCCAGCTTCTCATGTGGCAACATGAGAGAAGCCTCCCACAGGATGGAAAAACATCCAGGCATTCCCTGGGCAACGTCCAATGTCCTTGCAGATGGCCAATTCTCTCACACCAGAAGCAACTTGCAGTTTCTCAAGTCACTCCTGACATGAAAAAAGGGTGTGTGTGTACAAAACCCACTGAATGTATTGATGATAAAGAATGTGGTGCTAGCTAAGTCTGATTGGCGCTCAATGTCTGTTATTCATGGTTTAATCAGAGACTTGGCTTGGTCGTAGCCCATACTGGTTAACAGTCTTGGAGAGTTGCCCAGGGATGAAAATTTTGGCTGCTATTGCCTTTTCCCATCTGGACTGAAAGTCATCACATATAGTAATTGGTGCAAGGCCAGAGGGAGAGAGGGATAGTCAAAGCCAATATTTCGGCAAACGCTGCTTAGTATTGATGAGGAGATATTGGGAAAATAGATATTTATTGATTTATTTATGCATAAAAAACATATGTACTTTAAATGTATAGGAAAATATAGTTCCCTCTGTGTAGCAAGAATGCTAACAGGCAAGCAAACTGCTTGTCTTCAGAAGGGGCTGAAGAGGGAGGGGGCATGCATTCCAGAAGAGAGATAAGCCACAGGCTGGTACGACAGGCTCAGTGTCTTCCTTCTAAGGAGGGAGCCAATCCCCCCCTCCCTCCTGACATCTCAAAGTGGGCCTATTGATTGATGAATGTAAGCACAGCCAAGAAGGAGGGGGACATTCCATGCTTGCTCTCCAGCAAGACACAGACATGCTTGCTCTTTAGAAACACAGACATGCTTTGCATGTTGGAGGGGGAACCTGATATTCTTATGATGCTCAGATGATGTAGGGATGATGATGATTTTATGAAGATGTATGTACTAGCATGTTTCTTTGTTTGCCTGGACCTGGCATCTATAAAAGGGCAGTCCGCGCCTGTTTCATTGCTCTGGTTTTGCTTTTTGGGACGCGAGTCCCACCAGAGTCGCCAGCTGGAAATAAAGCCGTACCTTTTCTTATCTCCAGAAAGGATGTCTCTTGGTAATTATATCTCCTTTCCTCAAAACCTATTTCCCTGCCATTTCAGTATTCATTGGTGGTCTCCCATCCAGGGTCAAACCTGCTTAGAGGTCAGTCAGAATCTGGTGCCTCTGTGGTATGGAACCACAGCATAGTATGGAACCACGGCAATTACGGTGGCAGCAGACTGTGGTGATGGTGCAGGGTCCATCTGCCCTATACATTTATAGTTCCACTTTAACTGCCAGAAATGCCAGCCCCAGCATTTCTGTGGGATGCTGGGGCTGGCATTTAGGATGCTCAGAAAAAGGACCTCACCAAACTATGCATCCCAGGAGTCCATAGAGTGCTGCCATGGCAA